AGCACATTAAGGGACTTCCCTGGTGGCGCAATGGTTAAGAATCCACCTGCCAATGCAGGGGACAAATCCACCAGCCGATGCAGGAGACACAGGTTCAAGCCCTGGTCCGGGAAGATCACACATGCCGCGGAGCAACTAAGTCCATGCACCACAACTACTGAGGCTGCGCTCTAGATCCCGCGCGCCACAACTACTGAAGCCCGCATGCCGTAACTACTGAAGCCCACGTGCCGCAACTACTGAAGCCCGCGCGCCTAGAGCCCATGCTCCACAACAAGAGAAGCCACCACAATGAGAAGCCCGTGCACCGCAACAAAGAGCAGCCCCCGCTCACCGCAACTAGAGAAAGCCCGCGGGCAACAACAAAGACCCAACGCAGCCAAAAATAAGTAAATAAATAAATAAATAAAGCAAATGCAGGAAAAAAAAAAGCACATTAACGTTATAAGCAAACCCGATACACCACTTTGAGCAAAGCATGTGCAGAATCATGCACGAAGCAGTGGAAACACAGACGTGCAGGAACAGCCCCGGGGGACGCAGAAGCGAGCAGCCACGTTGGGACGCTGAGGGCCACAGCCTGGCAGGGGGACCAGCAGGGCGGCTCCGGGGGCACGGGCCAACACGCACACACTGCCAGGTGCAGCGGCACCCGGAACGTCCTGCGCTTGCCCTGTGTGATGCGGGGGCTCTGGCCACATGTGGAGCACGTCACACGTGGCCACTGCAGTGAGCAGCGGGTCCCTCATTTTACTGATTTTAATCAATTTAAACAGCCACATATGGACAAGTCACACACTCTAGAACTACTGGTAATTATGCTTTGCTGGAAAATCAAAGAAAACTACTAATACGATACAGACACAACGTTACAATTAAGATATAATTTCTTAATAAAAAATAGCAATATAATTATTTCTAGACGCAGACTCCTTTCAATTATTTTGGCTCTTAGCTAAGATTGTAAGACTGCTAAAAGGGAAGGTTTCCTAAGAAATCCCACAGCGCGCCACTCTGCAGCCAGCTGCACGAATGGTCTGAACACGCATCTGCTGGCCGTCGACCGATGAAAACGCCTGAACATACCTCCATAATCGTACTGGCTGGAATAATAATTTGCATAGTAGTCACTCTGACTGCTCCATCCACTTTTGGAATTATAGAAACCTTCAGGATACCCTTGCCTGAAAAAAACACACAGTGCTGTTAAAAAACAAATTACCTGTTTCTTAAAGTGGGACACAAATTACACCCAGAGCAACAGGCATTCATCAGAGCACCCTGGTTGTGAAAAAATTCTAATCAGGAGATCCAAACCAGTAACAACGGTAAGATTACAGGATTCCCTACCATACAGCAAATTAAAATTTTTCTGTTGAAATAACTATTTAAGTGCCGTTCAGCATAAAAGAACTAACCCTCTCGCGTGCTCAGTGCTGCATGCTATAAAGCCAATGCTTAAAAGCAGGGTCTCACGTTTTGGATATCATGCTTAGCAGAAGCAAGAAGCACTGAGCTATCAAAACCAAGCTAGCGCCGCCTGTAACACCTCTACACAGACCGCGACCCGTGTGTCCTGAGTGGGGAAAAGGGCCCTCGCACCCTCTTCCAGCTGACTGCCCGGGACTCACGACACGGGCCAGACCAAGGCTGGCCTCACAGGCCCAGCTGTGCTGCCAACCCTAAGCAGGACAGGCAGGTATCAGGCCTTCCGGTGCAGGAAGATTCTTGGGAGGATTTGATGGCACTTTCGATTTCTAAACTGTGACTCTGTGTACCCCTGGGGAATGGCTCACTCCTGGAGGTGCAGCCGCCCCTGAGGAGTGTCCGGCCCCCCCACCTGCCACAGGGACAGCACCCGCTGGGCGGGGGCCCTGGGGGGAGCACTCCAGTGCACCGCCTCCACCCGGGGGACGCAGAAGCGAGCAGCCATGCTCCCTCCACCGGGGGGAGCTCCAGAAAAGTGACCTGACCAAGGGCAGAGCCAGAGCACGCCCACCCCGCCGCCCTCTCCAGCCCCGGGCGCCCGTCAGGAAAGACTCCACCGCAGAAACACAAGGCTCGTTCTCCCCTCCTGCCGGGATGTGACCACACCAGGCACAAGCACAACACACTGATGCTCAGCACCAACACGCAGGCCTGCACACACGTGCGCACACACGCACAGGGCAGGAGAGGGGAGAGGCTGCTCTCCCTCCAGGTGAGTGGTGAGGACACGACGACAAACCCCCGCCAGGTAACCCGACCCGGCCTGCAGGCGACAAGCGGCAGAGCAAGGTGCGCCCCGGCCTCTGCCTCCACCCTCCCTCACCTCTCAGGGCGTCTAGAACACACTGGCCCGCTGCTCTCCCCGAATCAGAATGCCCACTGGGACTCCAGTCTCACCTCCCAGATCGCCGGGCCCAGTGGCTCAGCGCGTCCCTCCCAGCGACGGAGGAGGGCCAGCTGGACGGGCCGGCTCACAGAGGCAGGGCCTCGTCTCCAGGTGAGCTACTGAAGACGCGGGAAGCAGCCAAAGCAGCCCCGATTTTGAAAGGTGGCGCGTGGACGCAGTCTTCACCCACGCCCAGACTCTATTATGAGCCGAAGGAGCCTTGCACCCTCATGGCAAACCCGGCCTGGTGAGGCGAGGGCCCGGGGTGCGGGAGGAGCCGCGGCAGGCGGGCTCTGCAGCCCCGCGCTTCCCTCCGAGCCCCCGACGCCCCTGGGGGAGGACTGTGGCCTGCTGGGCTTTTACCCAGCTGAAGGCCAAGGCTCTTGCTAAAATAATGCCTCATCTGTGACCGCAGACCTGAGATCTCTGTCAGGGGAGAGGCGGAAGGGAGTGGCGGGCGGCCTCGCAGCCCGGGGGGCAGTGCCCAGGACAGAGCCTGGGCTTGCAGCGCCCGCTGCCAACAGGCCACTCCACGTTCCGGCCCGCGCCTGCCTGGCCCGGGAGTCGGGGCACCCCATCACCAGAGGCGGCGAAGGACCTGCACGGGGGAAAAGCTGCCTCGGCACCCACAGAGCTGTGTGCGTCCCTCGGCGACGGGACCACTGCCTGGGCTGGGAGGAAGCCCGCATGAGGGCAGGGGTGGCTTCCTGGTGGCCCTGCACAGGGTCGGGTCTGACCAAAGGCCAACTGACGACACATCCATGACCGCGCAGCAGCGCGCTTAGTTCGATTTAAAGATGCATCCTACGATCTGTCCACACCCACAGAACGTAAACACACATTAAACAGGTCTGTGTAATTCTTTACAAACACGGTCCTTTTCAAATAGTGATTTGAAAGTTACTACCACAGCCGGCAACACAAACGTCCATCACCTGGCCGCTGGCCGGTCCGAGCAATGACTCGCCCGGGAGCTGGGCCGCTCGAGCTCGGGGTAGCGGTAGCTGTCTGCGAAGGCAGCGGCTGCACCATCGTAAGGCCTGTATCTGGGCTCATAGAGGCCGTAGATATCCTGTTGAAAGAAGGATGCTCCATTAGATGCCAAGAGCCAACTCATCAAGCAACCGGCGCGAGTTCTCACGGTACAGGCGGTGCTCTCCAGATGAGCCCCAGACACGGGGCTTCCTTCATGCGAAACAATAAAAAAAAAAATGAAATCCATGGCCACATTCCTAAGACAGACTGCCCTGGCCGGGCTCAGGAGATGGCCCACCATCAGCGGGCCACGACTCGGGTCCCGTGGTGACTCGTGAGGACTCTGTTATCTGCTTCCCGAGGTCTCACCTGCGTAGGTGCCACGACCCCACGAGCTCGGGTCCCATTTCAGACACCATCTCAGGGAAGCAAAAGAACGAGGGTTCACTGGAACGGGTCCCAAAGCTACAGGCAGCCTCAAAAGGAGGATCATATTCTATCCTTACGAGGCTTTCAGCCCCATTACAGACCGATGAACCCCCATGGCTCTAAGGCTACGTCGGGACTTGACGTAGAGACGAGGCGGCCCAGGCACAAGCCAGCATCAGTCCTTCCTGACTCAGCATGAAGCTCCGCCGTCACCCGGCCGAGGACGAGAAGTCACAGGAAATGGGCTTGTTCTTAAGCACTACTGGGATCTGCAGCGCCACACAGACAAGGCAGAAGGAAGTGGGCTCCCACAGAAGTGACGCTGGGCGCCGGCTGGGACTCTGGGCACAGTGTAATCTCCTTCTACGGGGTTCCTTCAGGATCTAGGATTCCCAGGTCTCAGGGGTTAGGTGTGTACCTGTTCCCACATGTGCAAAGATGCCCAAAGCCCACAAGGCAGCCCCATCACCGGGGCAGCCCTGCTCCCTCAGCCTCTTCTGACTGCAGGGCCTCCAGTGCGGCACCTGCCCCCATGTCAGACAGTGGACTTCAAACTTCTGGTCCACAATCCTTCTGCCTCTGCTGCCCGTGGGTGATGCTGGCCAGGACGAGAGATGGTGAGAAGCGGACAGTAATCAAACGTGTGTCCACCTGGATCACTTTTTCACACTAAGGCGGGATTAAACAGAACTTAAACAACATTCGTGAGCCTGCATCAGTGTGAAAAGACCCAAGAATCTTCTGGGTAGCACAGCGGGGCCCCTTGCTCTGCTACTGCTATCACAACGTACCTGAAAGAAGCTTATGGAATTACACCACTCTTAGCTGTTTCATTTGGATTACATTCCAAACCTAACTTTTTCCCCTAAATAATTTCATCCTGAAGGAGGCATTTGAAAGACTAGAGTTTTCCTGTTGCTTCTTAGGTAGGTTTTAAGGTCAAAACCACAAAGAAGCTTCAGGAGGCTATTCCAGTTTCCCAAACTGTGCAACCAAGAACCCTGGGTCTGTGGAAAGCCAACAGGCAGGACGGGAAACAAAGGTCCTTTCTGTCACGTAAGTTGGGATGTGCTGTGTTAAACAAAAATTAATCAGGTATTCTACCCAACTCAATGTGCTAACGCACGGTGTGGACTTGCAAGAGAAAGGCCGCGCTCAGCAGAACAAGCTGTGACCAGGCAGCGCTCCTCACGAAGCAACGCGGGACGGCTGGCCACGGGTCACCTCAGAACTGACCAACAGAACCCCGCCAAGGCACACGACGTGAGAAAGGAACCACTGGTCAGGGCGCTCAACAGTCCACAAGCTCGACCCTACCTGGTAATAGTGGGGGGCGGTGCCAGGATCCGGCGGGTATGGCGAGGGGTACGGGGGCTGGTAGCCATCGTACAGGGACCTGTAATAGTAATAGGACGCCAAGTCTGGAGGCGGCGGCTGCAGCCACTGCTGGTCAGACCGCACGGCCGCCTGGCTTGAGCTGGTAGATGCGACGGACACGCTGGAGGACCGAGGTGGTCGAGGCAGCAGCTGTTGGCCCATGTCAGCTGGAGCCGGACTTGCAGATGGATGGGTTGGGCTTGGCGGCTGTCCTTGCCCTGGTGGACCTCCTGGGTTTGAAGGCTCTGGAAGTGCTGCTTTGGACCCCTGGGGAGGGGGAGGGGCCATCTCCTGCTGGGCTCTCTCTGGGCCATGCTGGTCCTGAGCAGCTTTCGTCACCTGTTGGTAGAAACGGTCTGGGGTATGCGCCCCAGGCCCGCGCGGTCTATGACTGGAGATGGTTTGCTGGCAAGAAGCTGGGCTATCAGCTTGGGCCGGGCTATACATTCCTACAGGATTTTCCAAAGTCCGACTGAATGTAAAGTCTAGGGCTCCCGAAGCTTCATCCCGACTGCTGGAGTGATTTGCCTTATTACTATCAGGTACCGAGGTATTGTTCGCAGGTGGAACTAACATCGCGCCTGTGCTTCCAGCAGGACTGGTAACTAACTCGGGAACAATGCTCTCTGCTTTATGAATCTTTTCACTTTCCGGAAGCAAGTTCTTTGGAACTGGATGAGATGGTTGTTGAACCAGTAAATTAGCAGGCTGACTAGAAACCATTTCCGAGCTACCACAAACTTGTGGGAAATTACTCTGGGCAAGATGGTTAGGCAGAGGCGAGCAGATGAGAGAACCAGCTAGAGTCCCAGACAACGGAGCGTTTTCTCCAGAATCACCCCCAGCAGCCTGGCTGCTTACTGTGGGCTTATCTCCCACCAAAGAATCTCTCCAGGGCTGATTCTTCTCATTAGGATTCAACGAGGACACAGAAAAATTAACCGGCTGAGCCAAATTATAGCTTTGATCAGGCTGGGCGATCAAGACTGGCTGATTCTGCAGAGACTCGGCGGGTGGGGAGGACAGCAGACTGGCATATCCGGGACCTGCCTGGGACGGGAGGGCCTCCTCTTCGCCCATTTGGGGAGGATTCTCGAGATTCTCGGAAGCACCAATGCCGTCCCTGCTCTGCACGGTGGGGCTGGAGCCCGGCTGCCGGGACTGCTGGCTGCACACCCCCTCGTCTGGAGGCTGGATCACTTCAGATGGCTGAGGTTTCGCGGGCACGTGAAGTGCGGGAGCAGCTGGGGCTAGGAGGACATTGCCTCCAAAATCTGGCAGCTCGTTCTGTGCCCACAAAGTCGTGGCTGGGCTCTCACACTTCACAGCCCCCTGCGCCCTGGTCAAGGGCCTCTTCTCAGGCGCGGGGAGCACAGCTTCCAACGGCGGCCCCGCGGCGTGCGGAAGCCCGGGACTGGCCTCCGTGGGTGTGGTGAGAGGTGGAGCACAGACCCGGGGCAGGAAGAGGGTCTCCATGTTGTCGGGGGGCTGCTCCAGGTTGCCAGGGGAGGCGTCGGGCATGGCAGCGGCTGCTCTGTGCTGCTTCTGGTGGGCGCTGGGCCCCCTCACCTCGCCCACCACGTTGGCGCGGTCTGCCTCGACTGGCTTCACTCCAGTGAAGTGCGATTTCACTGGTTCAAAAGAACTATTTGCACTCGTCTGAAATATTCCCGTAGGTTTTGGGGGGCTCGGGGCCGAGGGCTGGGGCAGGCTGCCGCGGTAGTTCTGGCTCACAGTGCTCTGGTCTGTCTCGCCTCCCACAGGAGACGAATCGATCTGCTTAAAAAACCTCCCGGGAGCCTCATCTTCAGCTTTTCCAACTTCCTGCTG